TTCTCCTGCTTTCTGCACGACAGTCTTGCCTTGTCCTTTAATCTCTCCACGGCCGCAAGGCGTTGCATGGCCACATTCATTGCTGAGTCAGGAGGCTGGCCACGATGCTGGAGTCTTGCCGGCCTGCTGGGCTTGTCCTTCTGCAACCTTCTCATGAGCTTCTCTGTCCCCTGGATAGGAGGCAGTGGAGCAGCTGCAAGAACTTCTGGCTCAGGAAGACTATTGTGTGGACAGGCGAGGACAGTGGTGGGAGCGTCTAGCTCTGAACTTACACCAGCACTTGAAAGACACGGAGAAGGTAATTGCCTGGCGTGATCTTCATGGTTATGGTGTCCTGGTGGACCAGGATGAGTTCTCCAACGTTGTTCTTGCCAACAGCGTTCTTGTAGAAGACTTTCTTCTTCTACGTAAGGCTCTTTCTGTCTGGTAGTTGAGGAAATGACCCCTGTATCTTAGTTATATTTTGTTGATCGTCTCTCTGCAATGGCTGGTTGGCTGCTAGGCTGTTGCATCCATCCGGAAAGGCCTCCTGGATCCCTTCCTTCGCCCAGGCCACCAGCTTGGTCTCTCCCAGAGAGTCCAAAGGATGAAAGACACCCCATCCTGCCAGAAGTTCAAGCATCTTCTTCTCGAACTGCCTCTTCTTTCTGTGGATGATGTTACCCATGTAAGTACTCCACGTACAACTGTAACTGAGCCTGGAATTACAGTCTTAAGGCATTGTGGTCACATGTGAGCAGACCTGATTTTTGTTTGCGATGGTCATTAAGAAAATTCTCTTGTTAAGTGAATCAGTTTTACCCATGGAGAATTTTTGTCAGAAAACTGAAAACCGATGCAGCAAAAAGATGTCAAAAATCATGATCATGGGACTGTGTATTAGCCGTAAAAGTGACCTGGTTGCCAAGCACCCAAAATGTCATGTGACTGCATGGGTGGCCTTCCTAACTTTGAAATCAGATTGTATGTATTTTTGGGGTGGTCCGTTGTAACTTTGGTCACGAAGCAACTGGTCATAAGTTGAGGGCTATCGGTAGCTGCGGTGTTCCCTGCCTGAGGAAATTTCTCTTCAGAGAAATGGGGGTGTTTTGTAGGCCCCAGTTTAAAAGACCTTGATTGCTGTAGGTCCAGAGAAGAGCTAACCACAACAGTGAAAGGACTGGAGTCCAAGTTCTACAAGGAGTGGCCCAAATGTTGGTCAATAAACTTCACCCTCTGGGACCGCTGCCTAACCCACTCTTTCCACTCCAGAGGGTTGAGGAAACGTCTGGAGAACTTGGGGTGGGAGAAGACATCCCTGGGCTTGCTTTATCCCTTAACCAGGATTCTCCCTTGACTCAGGTCACCATCAAAGGAAAACTCTGCCCGCAGACCGGGATGGGCAAATCCGTGTTTATCCTGGAGAATCAAACGGAGGGACCGGAACTCTTGACGGTGGTCTGCTCCGTTGAGGAACTGGCCTTAGCTCACTACAAGCAACAGGGCTTTGATCAAGGTAAACTTCTTTCAGCCCTCCAGTTGTTTTTCTTTTTTTTTCCATTTTGTTTCGCTTGGTTACACCACAGGGAAAATAAGGAAGGGTCTCTGCTGGTTCCTGCTTGCAAGAAGCTCACAAGGGTTAAAAAAAAAAAAATGACTTTTCTGATTAATTTTCTCCAAGCGCTGGTTTGGTGTAGCAGTGAAGGGCTAGGAGGGAGGAGAGTTCTAGTTCTCCCTTAATGAAAGGGCCTGTGAGAATGACCTTGGGAAGAGGAGGAATAACAGATTTGGAGGTCTTCTGGTCCAACTCTGCTCATGCAGGAGACTCTATTCCAGAGGTCGGCAACCTTAAACACTCAAAGGGCCACAAAGGTCCTGATGGAAGCCTCCCATTCAATTCTGGAGCTGACCAGAAGTCCGGTTCCCCCACCATAAGTCTCCTCTTAGATGGCATCCTTTTTTCCCTCTGCTGACCAGAAGTCCGGTTCCCCCACCATAGAGTCTCCTCCTAGCGAGGCATTCTTTTTCCTCTACCTGTCCTAACCGAAAGCCCTATCAACTGTGGAGCCGACCGGCAACAGGGAGCCGCAGCAGAGGGATGAAAGAGCCACACGCAGCTCCACAGCCGTGGGTTGCTGACCCCTACTCTATTCCATTCTGGACAAATGGTTGTCCAATCTCTTCTTAAAAACCTCTAGTGAGAAGAGCTAGACTTGACAATGCTGGCAAGTTTTAAGTCAAGGCAGAACACAATGTTGGGATGATGCTAAATTGGGGTGAATTGTTTTGGGTTGGTACATAAAGGTATTCCGAAATGTTTCCTGTGACTTCTACTGGGCTCTTCCTCAGGCATCCATGGCGAGGGGTCTACCTTTACCGCCCTCTACGGGCTCCTGATGTGGGACATCCTTTTCATGGATGGCATCCCCGATGTCTTTAGGAACTCATACCAGGTAAGCTTTGTGTTCGGAATGGTAAAGAGATAGAATAGTTTGTTGCTCAGGGTTGAACTGTGGGGTCCCTGGCGCTCTCTGAGCTTGGCAGTTTTCTTGCAGACATTTCAACACCCTACTAGGTGATATCTTCAGTGCTGGCAGGTGGTGGGTTGGAGGAGGAGAGGAAGAGGACTGTGAGGTCCTTGGTGCTCTCTGAGCTTGGTTATTTTCTTGCAAACGTTTCATTACCTGAGTTGGTAAACAACTTCAGTTCTAGAAGGAATGGGGCTTGCTCTCCTTCCAGCACTGATGATGTTACCTAGTTGGGTAATTAAATGTCTGCGAGGAAACTGCCAAGCTCAAAGAGCACCACCAAGAACCCCACAGTTCAACCCTGAGCTACAAATACTCTCTTCTGTCAAAAGATTCTTCTTATATCTTTTATGTGTGGGAGTTTTAAATGGAATTATCCACCCCATCCCAAGGCTTTCCCCCTGGACCTGTTCACGAGCAGTTTTTACAAGAACCGCCAGTCAGCCATTGAAGCAAAGTTGCAGTCGGTGCACGATGCGTCGACGGAGACCCTCCAGACGTGGGTGGGCGAAGTGTGGGGTGCCCAGAAGGGCAAAGCGTCAGCCCTGATCGGCTGGGACCTCTTCTCTTCCCTCCAGCAAGCCCAGGTGAGTGGGAGAGAACAGCACCTCCGCAGAGCCTGTGCTTTGCAGACACACAAAGGGCCAGGTGCCCTCCTGGCATCTCCAGAGATGCTTAGAAAATCACCCAAGGTTCTGGGAACTTTGGAGCCCTGCTGCCAAAAAGGGGAGTTGAAGGCCATCTATCTTAAAGTCACTGAGATAGATAAGCAGTCCTTTGCGTTCCAGCAAGGAAGGTACGGCTAACCTGCCCATTGAAAGAAAGAAAAAAAGGAGCCGCTTTTTTACTAAGTAGCCTTTAAGTTTCTTGAAGGGGCTTCTTGGAAACTTCTCAGCTACCTTCAGGACCGGAGGAGGAGGAGGAGGAGGAGGAGGAGGAGGAGGAGGGAAGCCAACAGCATACAGATGTACTTTTGCAAAGCAGACGGAACCGATCGCCTGGCTTTTCAGAGCAAATCCCAGAAACAGAACAAGATTCCCACATGTTGCTTTGCTTTGGAAATGATGGTCTTCCCGAGGTTTTTAAAAAAAGCCCCCCTTGTTTTGCAGAGCCTGGTCTGCTGCTTAGGAGGCCCCTTCCTGAGTGGAGTTTGCCGGCGACTCTCCCAGGATCTGCGCCATTGCAGGGGGGGCCTCCCCGATCTTGTCGTCTGGAAGACGGAAGACCGGCAATTTAAGGTACTTCCCCAGATTTTTTTTTTTTAATTTATTTTAGGAAAATGTTATTGCCGCCTCCTGGCACCAGGCGACTCAAGGGGGCTTACACAAACCATATAAAAAGAATAAAATAATAAATTAGTAAAATAATATCTCCCCCTCCCAATCCCTGGCCACAACATACTTTCATACAAACGATTGAATGGGCTGAACCCCTGGGGGTTCGAGAGAGGAGTCCCCTCGGGAAGAGTTCACAGAGATTGGTCTTGTACTCACAAATCACAAGCTACCCATAGTCCTCAACCTACGACAAGGTGCTTAGTGACGGTCTCAACAGACCTCTCCAGAGGTTACTTAGAACTTGGGTCCAAAGTTATAATGGCTGCATCCTCCACCCCTCTCCTGTGGTCACATGACTGCATTTTGGGGGCTCAGCAACTGCGCAATTTACGGCAGTTTGCAACCTTGTGTGACCACGTTTTGTGATATTTTTCTATTTTTTGGCGGGGGGAGGCTTTACTAAAGAAAGAGAAGGCACCGTTTTGCTCATTCAAATTGTGGAATGACGATCTGCACACTCTCTTCTGCCTCTTCCCCAATCCGGCGCTTCAGCTGGTGGAAGTGAAGGGTCCCGGCGACCGCCTTTCGCACAAGCAGATGGTGTGGTTGGACGAGCTGCAGAAGTTGGGCGCGTCGGTCGAAGTTTGCCACGTGGAGGCAGTCGGGTCTAAAAGTCAGCGCCTTGCGGGGGTCTGGGATCCAGTGCAATAAAATCTTCCGATACGGCAATGGGTTTCCTTTGGTGCTTCTTTCGAATCCGCTTCGGCTTCACTTCGAATTTTCCGTCCATGTGCTCGCACCAAAGACACATTTCAGGCTAAGTTTTTGGAAGTGGACGTCTCAGAGGTCCAGCTGAGCCCATGGAGAGCATTTTCCAAGCTAAAGGACAGCACTTAGACTTACATACCACTTCACAATGCTTTACAGTCCTCTCTAGGTGGTTTACAGAGCCAGCCTCTTGCCCCAACAATCTGGATCCTCATTTTACCCACCTCGGAAGGACGGAAGGCTGAGTCAACCTTCAGCCGGTCAGGATCAAACTGCTAGCAGTGGGCAGTGAGTTAGCCTGCAATACTGCATTCTAACCACTGGGAAGGGAAGAAGGAAAGGAATTTATGGCCACCTGTAGCATCCAGCTGTCACATGACCCCAATTTATAATGGTTTCGCCAGAAGGTGGTGTTAAATTTCGACAGAAAAAAACCCAGACGAGGGGGAAGAGGGCAAGTTGATTTTTATTAAGTCTCATTTATTTGCAATTTCATACATTATGGCAGATGGAAGGAGGTTCTCCTTGTCAGCTCTGCTGTGCTCAGGCAGACCTTTGCTTACGAACATCAACACTTTAGATCAGGGGTCTCCAATTTCAAGACTCATGGACTTCAACTCCCAGAATTCCTCAGCCAGCCAATTCCCTCATGCTGGCTGGGGAATTCTGGGAGTTGAAGTCTTAAAGTTGCCAAGGATGGACAACTCTGCTTTAGTCTCTTCCAAAAGTATTTTTTTTAAAAATGGGATTCCTCTCTCCGGTCCCATTTTCATAAAGAGTCACAGAATTCCACTTTCCTGATGGCTTAATTTACTTTTCCTTACCAAAAAAAAAAAAAAAAAAGTCAAGTATGGTTGACTTTTAAAATACACTTTAAAAAAAAAAGCCCGAATTTTAACAGGAAGGACATGCAAAAGCACCAGAATTGAAAGGAAGGACCTTCTGCCAGGGTGAAACACATCTTTAGGATTGCTGATCTGCCTAAGAAAATTATACACCCATGGAAAAAAAAAACACAACCACAGCCACCTTCCGGCACGCAGCAGCTAAAATCTACTTGACAGTATCAAAAGTGGTGGGTTTTATTATTATTATTATTTTTACACAGTTTAATTACAGCAACCACCTCCTTCAGCTCAAGCAGCCCTCTTGCTATTAAACAAACGTACAAAAATAGCCATCTCTTGTTTTGCACAGTTACAAAAACTTCACCGTGGAAAGTACCTGCTTTGAAAAAGAGTTAAGGTATGGGGGCTGCTCACTGGTGTTGAGGGAGGAATCCCCCACCCCTACTTTTAAGTTCACAAACGCCATCGAGTTGGCAGAAGGTAAGACAAGAGACAGACTGACAAACAGACCATTCGTGGTCTCAACGCAGCTGCTCCTTCTTTCTCAAGTCTACGATGGGCATTAAAACCTTCTTGAGAGAAGCTCTATCTTCTGGAGCTCCCTAACAATTCCTTCTTTTGGGAAAAGGACCCTTTTGTCCTGTCCAGGATGAAGACCAAGGAGCAGCCATCCATCCATCCAATCTATCTCATCATCTCCACATGGCACACAAAGGCACTGGCAGAACTACTGCAATCAGGTGGTCAGTCTGGGATGTTTTGAGAGTTGGGCCATCACTTCTGGACAACGTCGGAGAAGACCCAATTTGTGCCCAGAAAAAGGACGGGATTTGTGGAGGCTTCAGAAGTTGCTAAGCCAAACCACTTCTAGCCCATGTTTCCCAACCGTGAACATTTTTAAGATGTGTAGACGTCAACTCCCAGAAGTTGGCTGGGGAATTCTGGAAGTTGAAGTCCACACGTCTTAAACGTTGCGTGGTTGGGAAGCCTGGTTTTAGAAGTCCTCATCGGCACACAAAAAGATCATTTAGACCAGGGATCTCCAACCTTGGCAACTTTAAGCCTTGGTGGACTTTAACTTGAAGTTGAAATCCACCAAGGCTTAAAGTTGCCAAGGTTGGAGACCCCTGATTTAGACCATCTGAAAGGCCAACAGGTTCCCAAGGCTGTATCACTCGCGACTTCCCTTCATTTCTGATCACCATGTTCACTTCAAAGAGGTATTTTCACTTAAGACTAATTAAGATTCTATGGTCCGAGACCCCCATGTCAGGTTCCCCTGCTAAGCACGATGACTTAACAGTAAATAATGCTTACTTCATGAAGCCTCTTTCCTGCCAAATCAACTTAACAGATGTCCTGACATGGGTAACCACAGGTCTACCTAACTCTACTTAATCTCCTATACCTGCTTCACACGCGACCATCACACAAATTCTTTCCATTTCATCAGGGCAACTATTTTAAAGTCAAAAGTTCTGCCATCCCACAAGGGTTTTAAAAAAAGTAAAGTCACATTACAAAAATGCACAATTAAAAAATTCCTGTTAAAAAGAGGGTTCAGGCATACAATACACATCTCAAAAGTGAATCACCTTAACGTAGTTACCGTTTTGTTTTCTTTTTGCAAAATATATATACTCATCCCGCTTTAATTAGCAAAATTTGATACATCTGAAATGCCGTTAAGACTATTAAGCGTTAAGTAGAGAATCCGTAAGAAAGCCACCTTAGTAAAAAGGAACTGATTTCTCCCACCCGTACGAAAAATCCTGGACGTAAGAAATTCAACAGTAGGAAAATTAAACTTTTGCTCCATTGAAGATAATTAAGATAAAGACTTCGGTTATGTCATTAATGTCCTTGAAGGAACAGCAGCTGGGTGACCCACTGCAGAAACTCGGGGGTGGGAGGGGAAGAGATCATTAACAGACTTGATAATGGGACCCCAATTCAACAGGAGTCAGTGAGACAGGTTGCATATGGCACGCTCAATTCCCAGATTGCCCCACATGGGGCATGTGGGGAAGGGGGTCAAGCAGGATCCCTTCCTTCCTTGTCCCAAACAGCAGAACTGTAACGATGTGCTATTTATCTACTGTTGGATCAGCACCAGTATCTCAAATACTTGAGAACCACTGGGGGTGTCATCTTCTCCCAAAGGAGCTGAACACAAGCCATTTTCCAGAGAGCTATCCATTTCACAAAACAGACTAGGATTCCATGGTTTCCTGACTAGGCCTTGAAGCCATCTTCCATTTACAATAGTGTTTCTCAACCTTGGAAGCTTGAAGATGGGTGGACTTCAACTCCCAGAATCCCCCAGCCAGCGCTGCTGCTGGCTGGGGGATTCTGGGAGTTGAAGTCCACCCATCTTCAAGCTACCAAGGTTGAGAAACACTCATCTACAGAATGGCAGAAAACTCATGTCTACCCACTCAGGCAACACACATAACTGGATGTCCCTGGCATGTCCAGATTGCCCCAAATCCTCTTATAATTCCCCCATGCTGCACACCACCCCTCAAATTCTGCGATCAGGGGCCCTAAACGAATTCAACCAACCCTCTTGGTTGAATTCAACTTAAATCAGTATTTCTCATTCTTGGCAACTTGAAGACGGGTGGATTTCAACTCCCAGCATTCCCCAGCCATTCTGGGAGTTGAAGTCCGCCATCTTAAAAGTGGCCAAGGTTGAGAAACGCCGAACTAACCTGTAAAAAAAAAAAAAAAAAAATGAGTCCATAACTGTATATAAAGCAACATTTCCTTCCAAGAATGCTGATTCTAGCCAACCCCATTCAAGGCCCGTTCACAGTCAGTAATACTTATCGATTTGTCAGTTAAGATTTCTTTGCACAATCCTTAAAGCACCCCCAGAAATCACTATGAAGGAGACTGGAAACAGGCTACATCATCAAGAGGCAGAATGTTAGCTTATCAAATGAATGTAACTGAGTTCCGGACAAATACTAATGTCAATGCAAGAAAAGGCACTTTTAAGGCTAGTGTTTAAAAAATGTTGTTTTTTGCATACATGCTGATAGAACGGTCTCAAACCACGATGTCTGGAGCCAATATGGGTTCTCTTTACCTGTTAACCAGGTTAAAGCCGTAAGATTTCTCCAGGTAGGTTTTTTGTTCTTGTCGTTTCCTAATTTTAATCAGCCAAGAGACACCAACCGTCCCACCAGCAACAACTCATTGGCAGCGTACGCAATTCGGGAGGCAGATTTTTGTAAACTACAAGGCAACCTCAAAGCCTAAATAAATAAATAGAGAGCTGGGCCAAACGTAACCGTGATGACCAAAAGGGAGGGGTAAACTTAAATTTAATTTTCTTCAATGGAAGGGTAAAAGTTCTGGCTCAAATTCATAGCAAAGTGAATGTTGAGATCATCATGGGATTGTTCTATCACCTGAGGGGGGGGACGGGATGGGACAACATTGCTCTAGTATTTTGCACTGGTTTGTCACCCTGAAAATCTTTCTCTTTTTTCTCTTTTCTTTGCTGTTTCTCTTCCTTCATCCCTCTTGTCAAGCTGCAGGCTTCCGCCGGCAACTCCAAGAGGAAACCTCCCAAACAAACAAAGCACCATGCCCAATTTTTGATGGGTGGGTGTTATCAGGGAGGGTAAATCAACTTCCCTATCAACCAAGACAGCAGGAAGAATCCCGGGTGAAACTAAGACAAGACGATCAACGGATCGGCTGCAACGTTAAGACAAAATGAAACAAAAATAATAATAATAATATTCTGTGCATTATGAAAACATGAGGATTTTGCCTTTAAATACTTTTGTGCAAAAACATCAACGTGGTCTATAAAGTCAGGACAGCTTCTGGCTAGCGATGTCGGATTAAGACCAACATTTCTTCTTCTTCTTCTTTGTTCGCTCCCAGGGTTAGTCTTCGTTGGCAAGTGTCTCTGTGGACAACCAGATTTTGGCACCACTCAAGAATTTGCTCAGGGGCGTGCCCAGGATGCTGCGCCGACAAAGGTTGCCCACGGGGGAGAATGGAAACGCGGAAGAGAGAAAGTCGGGCATGGTGGGACCGTCATTGAGGCTATGGGCTCGGAAATACAGGCGACTCTGGTCCTGCTCGGATGCGTTGGCCAACACCGGGGGGCTGCCGTTGTGTTGCCTCAAGCTCCGGTTCAAGGACTCCACCTCGTCGGCCAACAGAGAGATTTTGTGAAAGGCTGTGATGAAACCCCCGTGCTTGATCTGGGCCTCGGGGATCCAACGGAAGTAGCAGAGTTTCCAGAGTTTGATCTGTGTCCTGGAGAGGCGGGGTAGGATCACACCGTGAAGGTCCGCTGGCTTGGAGAACCAGTCTCGGAAATATTGTTCCATGCCGTTGGTAGTGTTGTCCACATGATGAAGGAAGTCGGGTTTTAGTTTGAGGATCAGGGAGTTCCTTCTGGGGAAGAAGTCTTGTTCGTTGATGATGCCGTTCTTGAGGGAAGATGGGAAGCCTCTGAGGGTTGAGCTGTAGTTCTTCTGGGGAGCAAAAGGGGGAATAAAATGGGTTGAGTTTTCCATGGTTCACTGCACCAGATTATGATGGGTTCATGTTAATTGAATCAAGAAATGCAATTAAGGAAATTGCAGGTATGACCCGTGGCGATCTAGTCCAGAATTCTGCATGTCCACTGCAGGACCCTAAAGTAAGACCTCCAATAACATATTGGGGATCCCATATGACCGTGAAAGATCTGGCAGGAAAGGCCAGATTCATCTGTTGTAAGGAGAGGCAGACTATGGACAGCAGTGATTCTAAACCTTGGCAACTTTAAGACATGTGGACTTCAACTCCCAGAATTCCCCAGCCTTCATGGGGAATTCTGAGAGTTGAATTCCATAGAGAGAGTAAGGAAGAGATATACAAGCATTGATGGGAGAAACACATCTAAAGTCTGCAACAGGCAGATAATATTATGAAGAGGCTCAAATAGACACCTCCCTAATTCACAGAGACTTGCCTAAATTGGTGTCCTATAAGTCTATCACTTCGCCCCGTTCTTACCTTTGACCGTTTAAAGGTTTTCACAGTCCCGTTGCACACACAGGGTGTGCTCTTCCCAATGTACAGGGGGTTGTGAAAGAGCAGGCGATCCCGTGGCGTGAGCTGAAGGGACCAATCCCAAACGGAGGGAAATTTCAGGCCTTTCTCGTCACCCAGCTGAATATTTTTGCTGATGGCAAATTCCTGGGAGAAACCAAATGAAAAGATGTCAAAATAAGCAACCAAGACCCCCTTCCTTGAGTTGAGACTTAAATCCACTCTAAGACCGATAAAGGTTTAAAACCAAAGTCCAGCAACCTCACAATTCCACAGCACAAAAGGTTCTGTGCCTCAAAAATGTTGTACCCAGATGATACACGGATTGATGAATGATGTACAGGAATGATAGGAGAGATGTAATTATAAAGCTAACAAGAATTTGAAATGAAGATGTATGTAAATAGAAAATCGGGGCTGCGCGAATACCATCTTAAATTGAATTGAAAATGGAAACAACAAGGGAGTGGAAAAGGAGAGAGTAGTAGAGAGAGGGAAGGAGGGGAATAGGGAGGTAAGGAGAGAGAAGGAAAGAGGAGAGGGAAAAGGAAAGAAAGAAAAGGAAGAGGAAAGAGTAGGAGAGAGGGCTAGAAAGGGAGGAAGAAGAGAGGAGTGGGGAAAGAGGAGAGGAAGTAGAAAAGGAAAAAGGGAAGGAGATAGAAGGAAGAGAAGGGAAGAGGAAAGATTGTGGTAAAATAAAGGAGAGGAAATGGTAAAAGAGCAATCACAAACAATTAAACAAACAAACAAATGTTAAGTAAAAAGATAAGATGAATGAATAATAATTAATGATGGATAAGAGACTGTATATTTAAGTATGTTGATGAAAAATAAAAATAAAGTTTTTTTTAAAAAAGGTTCTGTGCCTCACACACTACACTTTCCTTGAAAGTGTAAACTACACAATGAAAAAGCTCTACGGAAATACAACACACCTGCTCAGAAACAACCATCACACTTGCACTACCATGACAGATATTCTCCTGACTCCAGGTAAGGTCAAGCTCTTCACACATTTCAATACTGCCCCATGGTTTGGCCCTCAAGTGTCCCCCTTCTTAACTTGGTCGGTCGTCTGTTGCACCCACCGTGCTTTGCTTTACTCTCTGATGTGGAGAATTGAAGAGGAAAGTACCAAACAGGGAGATCCGTGTGCTGTCGTACAGTATGGTCAAGTAGGCTTCGGAAAACTCAAAGGCCGATGGGTACTGCTCAAGCAGCTGCCAGACACAGTCAAGGAACATCAGGAACAAAGGAGACTAGAGGGAGGAGGAGACAACCGATTAGATAAATAAAATCTCTGGAGAAGCCTACATTGATTGCAAAACAAATGAAGCTTCTTCAAGTTGAGTTCGACTCTAATGACTTTATAGTGTCAACCATGAGTTGGCTTCCCGTGGCCTTTTTAATAATGCCCTCATATACTTCCTAGTGTCCCCAACAGCTGTGGGATTTCTTACTGGTTTCCATCCAAGTATGAAGCAGGTTTGGCACTCCATATATTTTTTAGTGGAAAGATCAAGAAAGATTAGCTAAATTCCACCATTAAAAGTCCTGGTCCAAGTATTGTATTTTTGCATTGATCCACCAGGCATTTGCCTGGACTCACAAGGGCTGAAGCTGTGATCAGGATGGTCGATGCACACTGGATTTGTCCCCTGTTCCTCTGTGTCCCTTGCCCGCTCTTCCCTCTTGAACTCATCACAGAATTACCTTTCCTGGGTGGAGAAACACCTAGCTAACTACCCCTAGATATTTCTTCAAGTTGGGGCTTTTTTCATCCTATTACCTCTTTGTCAGATTTCTTCAAGTGATTGCACCTGTCCAGAAACGGGTGTCCTGCCATGACCCACTCCTTCTGAATCAGGCTCTGAAATCCGGCGATGGTCCGAAAATGGGGATCCAACATCACTTGGATAAGAGATGCCACACAGCAGCTCAGGTCTCGCCCTTCTTCCTCTGTGGAAGGAAGGATGTGTTTTTAACACAAAACTGCTTTCCGGTGTTGTATAACTTAACCAGAGCCTCTGCTGAACAGGTGACCATCTAGAACAGTGTTTCTCAACCTTGGTAGCTTGAAGATGGGTGGACTTCAACTCCCAGAATCCCCCAGCCAGCATTGGGATTCTGGGAGTTGAAGTCCACCCATCTTCAAGCTACCAAGGTTGAGACACACTGATCTAGAAGCATAAATGAGCCACAGTGGCGCAGTGGTTAGAGTGCAGTACTGCAGGCTACTTCTGCTGATCACCGGCTGCCAGCAGTTTGGCAGATCGAATCTCACCAGGCTCAAGGTTGACTCAGCCTTCCATCCTTCCAACTTCGGTAAAATGAGGACCCAGATTGTTGGGGGCAAAAGGCTGACTCTGTAAACCGACTGGAGAGGGCTGGAAAGCACTGTGAAGCGGTATCTAAGTCATAAGGGCTATTGCTATCCATTGCAGAGTAAGTTTCAGAAACATTGATAGAAACCAGCTTCAAATGCCTACACAACATCCAAACATCAACCGTATGCAATTAATCTGGTTTAACGTGTCTCTATACTAGACAAATGCTGGATGAGAAAAGAACAGAGTTCTGTTTATGGCATGGAGTAAAGTTAAGTCTATGCGAAAGAACTGGAAGAATTAATTCAGATTATGGTGTCAACACTCCCTTCAGTAATTATTTTTGTTATAAATGCTTAATTAAGGCCATATAAAGATGTTGCAAAACACAATTTTGCAAAACAGACTAGCTTACCTTGCAAAATTACTGAAACATGTTTGCTGTCCAGCATGTAGACCAGTTCTGCAGAAAGCTTCAGGAAGATTCTAGATCAAGAGATCCCAAAAATCTAGATTACCTTAGATGAACGTACAGGTTAATTATCATGCAAAATTCCCAGAAATGTTAGCTTTAATGCCAGGCTATGTGATTTCCCCAGAAAGAGAGTCGGGTTTTCAGAATTCGGGTTTTCTACAACTGGTGTAGGTAAGAATCTTTCTGTGGATCGTTTGCAAGTCAAATAACTTTTAATTGACATTGTTTTTATGGGAAGTGGCCCTCCAGATTTCCTGGAGAGAAGATTCCGACCTCTTTACCTACCTCACATACTCCAGCCAACGTGAATTATCCAGCACGGACAGCCACTTCTCCTCAGTTTCTTCAAAAGGCTCTGAGACAAAGAGATGAGCTATTTTCAAATACAAGCACTTACAGGGTGATGGGACTCTCTTTGAAAAACAGTCCAAGCACAAGAGGTTCCACGTTGCTTAACCATGAATCGGGAGGAGAGATGGACACCTTCCTTGAAGGCATGTATACAAATTCCTCCAGAACTTTCAACTAAGCCTCTGGGTGGCCCTACCAAAAATATGGTAAATATTAACCAGATTAATTTTTTGCCCCCAAAATAATACTGTAGATAGATATTAAAAGCTTTAGGCCGAGATGGGACCCAAATCTGGACATTCATCTCCCAGATGACATGAAGGAAAGTGGAAATGATACTGCAATCCTCCAGTGGTTATATTCTCTTCTGGGTCTTCAGAATTAAAAATAATCTGGGGTATATATTTAGAAACACAGAAGAAGCCGTTTCTTCTTCTTATCTCACGACTTAATATGATTAGAGAGTAGTTGCTACCGGATGCTGCTCTGTGTTATTTCAATCATCCTTTTTGGACTTGTCTTTGAGAGGTTTAATGTGTTTTACATGGGATCTGCTTGTCTCAAATTGTCTGCCTCTTTGGCAACGCAAGGACCAACTCGGGTTCGGAGGGCATTACCATTCACACATAACTGCTTCAGTTTGAGGAAAGCCGTCTGGATTTCTTGAATATTTGGCAGGCATTTATCCAAGTCAGATTTGTAAACGTCACTCCTCTGTGGATGACTTCTGGTGACAGCATTGCAAATCCTACAAGAAAAAGAAGATAAATCGTACCGAGGACATTTTTAGAAGTGTCTCATGACGGCTTCACCCCACAGCTGGCCCCAAAACCCCTTCTCAGCCCGCAGTACAGCTGCAAGCTTCCCCTCCCTCCCCAAGCTGCATCCTGTGGGCAAGGGCACACCCAACCACAGGCTCAAAAAAATACCCTGCTAGGAAGCACCAGTTGGCCACAGCTGTGAGGGGATAAGAGAAGTGGCCCCATCTCCCCATACTTCAGAACTCTGAGTCAACTATCTGGCCTTTCTGTGAAGACTTGACAATGTGAACAGGGTCAAATGATTTATGAGGACATCCCTTGAAACTTAATAAACCAGTTCTCCTCAATCTGACGCTTACAATCCAGCCAGCCAGCCAGCCAGCCACATATCTGCAATTTTCACCAATTTTTGGTTATCTGGAGGGAGGTGGTGGCTTTAAGAGGAGCCCGTCGAGCAGAAAGCCAAAGGAACACAGGATCATAGGGCTGGAAGGGACGTTGGAAGTCCTTGCTCAAGGCAGGAGATCTTAAACCATCGCGGTCAATGGTTGACCTCGCTTTTATTTTGTCTCTCTGCTTTCTCAGCTTGGGCAGAAAGTTAGATTGAAAACAAGATAAATGAAAGCCGGCCACTGCAATCCCTACCGTTGGTCTATTTTTCGTTGCTGCAGGCTGTCCTTGATGTGGGCCATTCTCACCAGAGCGTTCCCGTTGGAATGGTTCCAACACCACATCTAGGAAACAAGGTAGAGGTGGTAAGTTCCATACACCACAATATGCCCCCAGAAAGTCAACAGCATCTTAAGAACCGGTTACAACAGGCAGAAGATTCAAAAAGTGCTTGAGAGCTGCTGAAAGTGGGTTTTTCAGGGGCTTAATAACAGGGCAAAGAGTAGGGGCCTGGATTAGTTTTGGGGGGTCTCTTGACCCTCTTTGCTACTGCTATCTATCTATCTATCTATCTATCTATCTATCTATCTATCTATCTACCCATCCATCCATCCATCCATCCATCCATCCCAACACAGCTATATTATGTTCCATGTCTTCTTAGTTGGCCTCAGAGTAGGAGAAGGATTAACCTAGGGATGTGTTTCTCAACTCTGGTTGCTTGAAGATGGATGGATGTCAACTCCCATAATTCTGGGAGTTGAAGTCCACCCATCTTCAAGCTACCAAGACTGAGGAACACTGATCTATGGTGTCAAAATATTAAGAACCTGACTGCATCCTTTCCAACTCACAGATTTAAGAAGCTTATGCCTTCTAATAAAATTTGTTTAAAGAGGTGCTACCAAACCTCTGATTCTTTTGGATCCCAACATGCATTATGTGGCGAGGGGGTTGGCGGCCCCCTTGCCAAAAAGACAACAAACTCATCAGACCTGCCTCCATTTCTTTCAGTCTGGTAATAGACCACCCTCCCTTCTGCCTCTTTTGACACTTAAGAAAGGAAGAGATACAAAGGGAGGAAATGGTAGAGGAGAGTCGTAGAAGATGATGTTAAATGTTAAGAATTAAGGTTATTATATTATAATCTTATTATATTATTAATATGATGGTGATGAGTAAATATAATGAAGAGGTATAAATATGACTATCTAAACATAATTGTACCCAGAATACAGACTGTTTGATGAAAATTTGAGTGTTACATAAATAAAACACTGTACTACAGGCAAGAGCCTGTAGTACAGTGGAGTAAAGCACTGTTATTAACATCTGCTGCTTGCAATTACTGCAAGTTCAAATCTCACTAGGCTCAAGGTTGACTCAGCCTTCCATCCTTTCAAAGGTAGGTAAAATGAGGACCCAGTTTGTGGGGGCAATAAGCTGACTTTGTATAAATATACAAAAGTATGAAGGCTATTGCTTAATGCATTGTAAGCCGCCCTGAGTCTCCGGAGAAGGGCTGCATATAAATTAAAGCAAAAATACAAACAAACAAAAATAAATAAATAAATAAATAAAACATGAGGGGGGGAAAAAGGAAGGAAAGGGCCATCGCTTCATCTTCACACTTACTGGCATCCGTCGCCCGGTGAAAGAGTAAGAATACAGCTTCAAATCTTGATCCGCCAGAGACGAGGGCACCACAAAATATTCTGGAAGACTTCAGAAAGAAAACAGGGGGTGGGAAACCACTCATCTTTGAAAGTGTGGTCACTTGAATTCCAACCCAAGTTCTTAAAAATAAGGAGCCTTACAAGACGTCCTAGCCATCCCAACACACTTTCTCCTTCTGAAGAGACATCAGTTGTCATCTCGGAAGGGAAGAGCTCCTGGGAAGAACAGGGGGTGTCCTACATTTCCCACAGATCCTGCCACTTTCTTATCCAGATTTACCTGGTGGAGATCATGTAGCCTTCATTGACTGAACAGACACGCCATTCGGATGCTCCCGTCCTCTTGATCTCTCTATCCCAGTCTGAGAACGTTTCAAACAAGGGAGTCTGGTGATGAACGCCATAACCTCCTCCTCCTCCAGGGTCTATTCCATTCACCCTTTTTGCTGGAAGAAACAAAGCCAGGAGAGTATTTTCATTTCAAAGTGGAAACGCACAGAGGCACGCGGTTTTAGAAGAAAAACCGAGAGCGATCAATATTCAACATGGTGATTTTTAACAGAGGAGATGAAGAACTGAAATACTGTAAACCACAGTGAGGGGTTTTTTTTAACAGCAGTGATCACCAGGCTAAGTTTCCCCAATTGTTTTAACTGTTGCCAGGTTTCTCCTGGTCTGGGGCTGTGACCTTTTTGTGGTTTGTCAGTTTGTCCATCTGCACTCAAAGGTTTTTGATAGGACAAACTTCATGGCAGAATCAGCATGGCTGACGTTAAAAGTTGGGATGGACCTGTTTCCCCTTGTTCTATAATATCTGCATCTAATACAGAATAAAACTAATGGGGTGACATCCAAATCACAACATTCCCAAGCTCCAGAGATTTTTCTGAAGGTCTTCAGTGAAGAAGTTCTAGAAGTAATAAAACTTGCATCCACCCCAAAGACATTTCTAGAAAATTGAACTAGCTGATAAGGTTGGTCACTAAGTGGAGATGGTTGCCACCCAACTCAGCAAGAATAGCCAAGATCTGGGCAGAAAATGGTTGAGTCACCTAATAAGTCTCCAGTTTACCTGGATTGTGATATTTCTTGCCCACATATTCGAATGCAAAGAGCAGCTGGAGGTCTGCTGGTTGTGAATAGTGTGCTATTGCAAGACACACCTGAAGGTGGAGAAAGAAAAAGAGAAACGATCTTCAGACGAGAAGAAGCAAGACAGAACCCCTTACACATTATTTTCACGGCCAGAAATGACGAAGAAGGGCAGAAAAACAAGCACCAAAGTCAGCAAAAATGGGTTGCCTCTAGGAATGCCTGCAACTTTGATTTCCTTCCCCACACCCTGCAAAAAAAAAGGGCTAACTTGTTAGCTGTTGATGCTCACAAGAGCAACTGTGCACAGTAACGCCTTTGTCATGGACTTTAATGGATGCCACTTCTTATTAGTGGCCAAGGCTGCCAATGGCTTCCATTGTGTGTCGCGGAAAAGGAAAAAGGTCAACATTTTTTCTGTCTACCGGGAGAAAATATTTCACGGATTAATCATGTTCTTAGTTTTCTGAAGCGCTTAGGGTGCAAAAAGGGAAGCTTGGAAAAAAATCTTGGGCTGAAAGTGACCGCTTCAGCTTTCAGTTCCTATTTTCTGAGAATTCAGCAGCCCAGATGAAACAAGCTGAAAATCAGGGGTTGGGTGTGGGGGGGTGTTCCTTTTTTTGGATCATTCCTACAGGAGATCCAAAGGAAAAAAATGTGCTTTCTGTGTCCCACACCACTCAGCTGGACTCTCTTTGTAGACAACCTCCTATTTTCATCTCTCTTCTGGAAGGGTTCTCATGCAATCATCTGCCTCTTTCTGGAAGATTAGAATCAGGCTTAGATTTGATATTTCATTAAGCCTGGTTTATTCGATAAGTCAATAATGCAGTCATGTTGAGGCATTAAGCCCAAATCAAACCAACCACGTCCTGTTTTCAACCAAGTTTGTTTGTTTGTTTGTTTGTTTATTATTTATTTATTTATTTATTTATTTATTTATTTATTTATTTATTTAATCAAATTTCTATACCGCCCTACTCCCGAAGGACTCAGGGCGGTGAACAGCCAAGATAAAATACAGATAATACAAATATTAAAAGTCCCTTAAAATTATTAAATATTTTGGCCAAAACACAGATTAAAACACCCAATTTATAAAATCACGAATTAAAAAATTTAAAAGAGGAGAGTTAGGCCAGGCCAGGTTTACAAAGCCTGGAACCTGAGTAGCATCAGCAACACCCCAGGACTCAAGAGAACTGGAGGAAGCTGAAACATAGACGTGATATGGAAAGCTGAGATGTCGTCTCTGGCATGGACCTAGTCTTCTAGCTAAAAATACCCTGCAGCTGATCGCCAAAGCTGCTTTCGGGTTGCTCCTCAGGCAGATGGTTCTTAAGAAGGATCAGAGCCATGTTGATCTTATTCTGACGGCTCAAAAAACCAGCCTCATGCTGGGAAAAATGACCGAGCCAAAAGCTGCTGAGATGTCTTGGAGGATTAGAAAAGGGTCAAAGCCTACTCTTTATATGTTCCCTCAGGTGAAAAAAATATGTTGTCTCCTGCATTGATTAAATCATAAGGAAATATGGGAACTGCCAGGACTACTCTCTCTGCCAAAGAACTAACAACCTAGTCAACCCATGAAGCTATCTAACTAATCTTGACATGGGAAGCCATCCAAAATATACCAGCTAGCTAAGGACATGTGACACTTGGCTTTCGCCCAGATTTCTAAGCTAATCATCCACCGTGTGAGAAATAATAATTTCTCACTCCTTGACACGTGTAGTCTTCCATTCCCGTTGGTGTGTGCGCACAAGTTCATAGGTACGTGATTGGTGCAAAAGCACCAGAAGCAACACAACCCGAATTATTTGCACTGTACGTATTGGTGAGCTTAAACTCTAGTAATGTTGGCCAGGGTCAACATTTGGAACCACCGAGGTGAGGAACACACTGAAAAGTCTCTTTGTATTCTATGCTTCCATTTTGTGAGGGGGGAAAAAATCTATTTTAGACCATTAAATAAGATTAACTCAGTCCATGTCTGCTTCAGGATGTTAAGATATTTACAGTTTCCACCAGCTGGAGAAGAAAAAAAAAAACCCATCCTTGCTTAAACACACAGCTGTATGAGAAATTTAAACCAAGGTGCCAACTAGTGGCACATGCCACATTCAATGGTTTTCTTGTTCCTAGCCCCCCCTCCCCCCCTTTTTTTTAACCTAAGCTCAAAGATTCATCTGGGAGGCTTTATATACGTGCAGAAGAAGACTTGAACCATCTGCCAGGAAAATTCTTGACGCCAACCAGTAAGAAGCTACTTAATGAATTTTCACAACTGCTTTTTTGAGGAACTGGGGATGAGAGGAGGGTCAATCCTTATGGCAGATCTCAATTATTTATTGATTAAATTTCTATTATTTGATGAGTGGAGTCTTCTTCCGCCATTAATAGTTTGCAAAACCATTTCCTTCGTTCCAACACTTCCCTCAGCCCACGATTTTGACTCTAGATATTCAAGACCCGATACCTTTTTAGCACTTTCCGGTCCGGCTTCATCAAAACGAAAACGGACAATCCGAAAGTCTTTGCAGTAAATAATTAATTCCGTTGGATTAAACTTCAGCTTTTGGTTGGGGCCTAGGACTTTCTGCTTCCTCTTGTTATCGTTCACTGTGAGAAAGGAGGGAAGAGGCGCGAGAGATTCTAACTTTCGTTTAAAACAAAAGCATACAAAGCTCATGCCTTATATACAGGCTGTTAATATGGATTTTTGTTTCTGCAATTTATCCATTTCTGCACTCAGTTCCTAATTAGCAGAGAGTTTTAGTAACTCGTTTGTCCTTTACCTGTGACGATTTGCTCTACACACGTCAAGGCCACGTCGTGTTCTCCGAGGAGAAGATTTTTGTACTGGAACTTCTGAAATAGAAGAGAGGCCATCAGGATACACGCATGAAATTCGTTAATTTTAGTTGTGTCTTGCTGAACAAAGGACAAAATTAGCTTGGTTTTGGATTTTTTTTAAAGGAGTGGGGAGAGGAAATGCTCTTAGATGGCCAAGCTGGCCTTGTAGGGAAGGTGGGCATTATATATAAAAAAAACCTAATAAATAAAAATAAAATATTATAGTTTATATACAGGTAATCCTTGACTTACAACAGTTCACTGAGTGACCTAAGTTACAACAGCACTGAAAAAAGTGACTTATGACTATTTTTCACATTTATGACCATTGCAGCCTCCCTGTGCTCACGTGATCAAAAATCAGCCAGTTGGCAACAGACTTGTATTTATGACAGTTGTCACGTGATCTCCTTTTGCGACCTTCTGACAAGCAAAGTCAAGGGGGGAGCATGATTCACTCAACAACTGCAGTTATTCACTTAACAACAATGGCAAGAAAGGTCGAAAAATGAGGCAAAATTCACTTAACCACCGCCTCTCGCTCAGCAACAAAAAATTTCAGCTCAATTGTGATCGTAAGTCGAGGACTACCTGTAATTCACAGGTAGTCACATATATTATGATTTAAATTTGAAGAAAAAAGTTGTGATTCTTGTAAAATCGCCCATCCCTGATTCCTGGCTGTTTGGACTCGCAACTAATGTGACTGGCATTTCATGCAGCTGCCCAGATACTGTCGGATTCCAGATTTTCCATCTCAAAATCTCAACCTGACACTGGGATTCTTTCCAAAGTCATTCAAAAGCACTTCCTTTGGTTCCATTCTTATTTATACTAACAAGTCCTCATTTAATTTCAGCGTCCATATCCGTATTGCGAAGGTTTGTATAAGGTATTTCTAAAAAGCAACCTATACAGAATCCTAGGGCTACAAGGGACCTTGGAGGTCTTCTAGTCCAACCCCCTGCCCCAGGGGCTTAAATATTTTAAAGATTCTCTTTTCTTTTTTTAAAAGAAGTGCTTGTTTCCTTTTCCTTCACACACATCCCTCCCCCCAAAATACCTAAATAACTATCTGCCTTTGTTAAACTTCCAAAGAGCAAATTCAGGGAAACGAGGTAACTATACCAGGCAGCAGAACTTACAAACTCTGGATATTTTTCATCGGGTTATTTCCCCGTGCTGTATTGCAAAATGAGAACTGCACAGCAGGACTGAAAAGCTGAGTTCAAAGAGGGTTTCCTCTACTTGTCTACGAGAGGAAATCTCCTGGCCACGTGTGGGGATTCCACACAGGGTATTGCAAAAGAGAAGGGGCAAACCCCCAACGTGGCCACAGCTGCCAAGTTAAACCCAAAGGTGCTTTTTCAAAAGGCAACTGGACTTTTGTGTGTGTGTGGTTTTTTCCCCCTTGAAAACATTTCGCTTTGCATCCAAGAAGCTTCTTCAGTTCTGACTGAAGACCCCTGGACTAAAAGACCCCTGGACCAGAAGAGCCTGTGAGGTCTCTGGTAGCCTTAGGATTCTACGCAGTTCTTCAGTTCTGTCTGAAGAAGCTTCTTGGATGAGAAGCGAAACGTCTTCAAGGAAAGAAAGCAAGACAATCCAGTTGACTTTTGACTTTTAAAAAAGGCACCTTTGGGACAGCCGTGGCCTGGAGGATTGAGACATTTTGCCAAGTTAAACCATAGTTTCTGCGCACTCCTGCTCAGATCGTGGCACCCAACCGACCTGAAGAGGGAGGGTGTCATCTGTAATGAAGGATATCTTGAAGTTGCTGCAGACCAGTTTTCCCCAGAGGTCGTATTGGCTTGTATCCGTTGCGATGCATTTCCTCACAAAGTTCACTTCGTTCACCACAATTTCGCCTGGAGAGAGAAAAGAAAGCTGGTCGGATCCCTGGATGAAATCTTCAACGAAAACAGCGGTTCTTAATGGCTTTGTGCCACGGGGACCTTTGAGGAAATCTGTGGGTTCCTTGCAAAAATGGTAGAAAATTAAATGGTGAAAATAAAGGGGTTCCTCCCTTATCCTCCCATTTCCAAGTTCACAGACCCTCTGAAACCCATCCATGGATCTCCAAAGAATCTCCATGGAGCCAAAGTGAAGAAGCCCTGAATTAAATTAGCTGAACTTGTTATTCAACAAAAACGGATTAAAAACTAGTGTTGTACAAACTTTGGATTTGATTGAAAATCAAATTTGAAGCATGGATTTGAAGCATGAGGTGCATGAGAGCACAGCACCTCCTTGCTTCTCTTTAAAGCAGCTGTATCTTTTCTTGGCTTGTCTTGCTCTCCTCCACTGCTTCCTTGGGAGTCTAAGAAAAGATGAAGCTACTTTAAAGGGTTACAGAAAGACACCACATCTGGGTCCTTGTGACCGTTTGAAACTGAATCTGAAGCCATGGCTTTCCCTACTAAAAACTTTTTTCTAAGAATCCCAATGTCTAAAGCATTGATTTTAAATTATTTATCTCATACTGTCCCGGTTGGACCAATTATGTTTTCAAAGACAGGAAGTTTAAAAGCTTTTAAGCAATGAAAATCTCATCTCACATTTCAAGGGAGGAACTTTGGAATAGCATAAACTTTTTTTCGCTGCTGACCCAGAGTTTAATGGAACTTCACATCTTCAAGAGAAGCTGCAGGTGGCCCATGCTTTCTTGCCAACCCACTTAGAAATAATTCAGCTTTACTCCTCGTTCGTAAAATGCCAATCTAAAAGAATAGCTCATTTTTAAATACTTTTCTATTTCCCCAATCTCAAGCTTATAAGGACCAAAAGTGAGAAAAGGCTCTTCAGGAACAATTTAATTCCATCTGAAAGTCTCCATTTGCAGGTATTTGAACATTATGTCTACTCTAAATTTAGCCACAGTCCGGCACCCTTCTCCTTCCGTCTGCAAGCACAAGCTGTTCCAAGCACTGAATGATAATCATGTGCAAATGACTCAAACAGAGATGTCAGAGGCAAAAAAAAAAAAAAAAGCTGCAATTGTTTTCCAAGAACCCAACAACACCCAGCACACACACAGTCGTATCTGCAGAATCCACACCAGAATTAAGAGCCACCCGAAGTCCCCGGGAGAGGCATGTAAATCAAAGCCACACATACCTAGAACAGAGGTTTACTAGGAAATTAGAGCTTTGGCTCAGATGCAAATTATTAAGAAGCGCAGGCAGCCTCTGAATTTCATAACACATCAACGTGTTTATTTATTCATTCGGATTTATTAGATGCTGCGTTCTTGAAAGAAAAAGAAACGATTTAGCTGGGCAGAGAGATGTAGTTTTGCAATGAGAGGCTTCCAGTCTCAGTTACAATGATCGAACACAGGATTTGTCCTCAGTTAACACCCGACTTGAGCATTGTGCTTCTCTAACATCAACCAGGAAATTCCAGAAAGGTCTAACACAGGAAATATCAACAAGTTAGCATCTGACATAAAAAGGCTGGAATGCAGAGCTGAGGAGATGAAAAGGGGGATCCGGTAGCCTTAAATTCAAAGTGGGGCTCGCGGTCAGTAAACGGAGTCGGTCTTGGGCGAGTCAAATAAGTCCCAGTTCTCTACGGTTCTGTAAATTGGTGAAAATCTGAACCCCAATGCTTCTGAACTTCATTTACGCCATTCACACTGCAGAAAAGCTTGCATGCTGAAAATGACCTATAAATATGAGCGTATTTGCATTTTCTGGGTGGAATGAACGAATCTGCCCCGAGCTTTGTATTGTCAGGAAGTGCTACCATTTTCCTTGAGGTTGAAGAAGAATAAATGCACTTGTTGATTTGACCCTACTAAGTTATAACAAAGAGCTGATGGAAAAGGAAATTCCAGCCAATGAATCTGGCTTCTGTAAAGCCGTCCTTGGGCTGCAGGATTATAAACTTTATATCTGCTTAGCATTTGACAATAGAAGCAACAGAGAAAGCCTTTACTTGACAGTGGAGAACGACGACAATTACGTACCAATTAAGGATTTCACATTTGTTAATGCCAACTAAATCTGTTAAAACTTTATTTGCTCATTCCTTAGGACAGCAGAAGGGTAGGATCACAGATCCCTTCCTGCATTTTAGGTTAATGTTGTACAATTCTATGGTCAATGTTTTGATGGGTAAGTTTCCAACAAAAATATCTGATATGCCTAAAGCACAGCGAAAGTCCATTTAGTAAGCAATGAAGAGGAACGTCCTCAATGGACCTCACATTCTAGGTCAGGGGTTTTAAACTTGGCAACTTAGCTAGCTGAGGAATTCTGCGAACTGAAGTCCCAGGGTGGAAGTTTGAACTTTCAGATTTGCAAGATCGATGCCAGCTCTGCCAGGTAAACCAGGCAAGGAAACACTGATGAGATGAACTATTTCTACTTGATTGCAAGGCTACCGTAAGTGAATCTTGGCATCTTGCGAATTTTAGCTGACGATCCTAGACACATGGCAGTCCACTAGGATTATATAGTATTTGTGTGGAAAATGTGCTTAAAACCCTAACTTTAAAATCTCCTGCCAATGGAGATTTACTGTGGTGACCTTATGGAGATGCCCACCAAATATTCTTGCCCACTTTATGGAAAGAGTTAGCTGCAAAAACCTTGAAAAAGCTGGGATTTATTTCAATAACTCCAGAAAGCACTGCAAAACCAGGAAGGACGTGGTTGTAAAAAGGGAGGAAAGAAACACACGCTTGTGACCTTCAAGACGGCCAGAATAAGATAAGAGTTAACTCAAAAGGGTATTTTTTGCTTTTACATTGCCCAATCATTCAGCATGAGAAGGTCTTCTTCTCCCCTTCAGACAACTGAATGTAGGAATATCATTCTCCAGCTCACAACTACCTCCCCCTCTCCTCTTGTTAGACAAACACATTCCCCATAAAGGCAATGTTTCTCTGAAAAATTACATCATTCTTTTTAAATTTACGGCCGGCTTAGGATTTTCAGATAAGGTGCTCCTGTCTGTACAAGATTCCTTTGATATTTTAGCAGGTCACAATCCAGCATCTGCTCCCTCTCTTCCTATGGCCAGTACTAGGAAAGTCCAAGGACACAGGTAGAGAAATCAAATGCCAATAAGTCACTGAGCATCAATGAAAGAGAGGTACAAGCATGGGAAGCTCCTCTCTGCTGGTAGCATGATTATTCAGTTACAAATTTTGCTCGAGTAACTCAAAAGTCACTTCCAAAATTCAAATCTACGCAAGCGTCACTCTGTACAACTGAAGGCTAAGCCAGTGTTTCTCAACCTTGGCAACTTTAAGATGGGTGGACTTCAACTCCCAGAATTCCCCAATGCTGGCTAGGGAATTCTGGGAGTTGAAATCCACCCATCTTCAAGCTGCCAAGGTTGAGAAACACTGACTTAGCCTACAGAATTCTTATTCCAACCAACCATTCAGAGCAAGAAAACATTAAGAAAAATATCTTCAGTGCTCAATGCTCTCTTTTCAACTTGCATTAAACTCTTTGCAAGTTTAATGCAAAATATCTGTGCATCCAAAAACAGCCAATAAATACTGGCAGACATTTAGTAGATTTTCTTTATTTTCTTCCCGATTCGTAGCAAGCAGCTTCTCCTTCTGCAATGAGCTTTGGGGGATTTTATAGGAGATAACTGAGCAGCTGGAGAAGAGAAAATCCCTCTACTTTGCTCTGTCAGGCTGAAGCAGGCACAATCCTCCTCCATCCCCGTTGGTTATTTGCAGAAATAAAGGTCACAAGTCTGCCAGGCGATTTAATTCTGCACCCAGTGCCAACTGGCAAAGAAATGAATACAGCTCTCCTTCCTTCCTTCGTGAAAGTGGGAGAAGCCGTCTGCTCAAAAGCAGGCGATCAAGTTTGGTGAATAAATCCCGAATATGTATTGTTTAAAAAGGACTATTTATGAAAGCCAGACAGTCTTCGAAGGAAGGAAAAAACCTGCCCTGGACAGGTGAGCTGTTGCAATAGGTAGAACAAAGAGCCCAAAAGGTACAACATTCACGCTGGCCATACAAAGAGAGCAGAAACGTTGTGGTTTGAAAAAGGAGCAACAAATGCCGGAAAAAAAGAAAACAGGCCCTTAAGGAACAACCGGAGTCTTGCAATCTCTTAAAGGCCCAGAAAATCCTGTCGGGTGCAAAGCCTGTTCTGACACCTGTCTGGAATGTTTACCTGGCAGTAGGACAGGCTCCAGTTTCTTAAGTCGAGGCTCCGGAATGATCTTGTCTTCAGCCTGAAAAACAGGAGGAGAAGGGCAAATGTGCAACCATAAATAAAATACACAGGTAGTCCTTGACTTGCAGTCATTCGTTTAGTGACCGCTTGGAGTTACGACAGCACTGAAAAAAGTGACTTAGGACCAGTCCTCACACATACAACTTTTGCTGCCTCTCCAGGCAATGCGATTTAAAATTTGGGCACTTGGCAACTGGCATTTATGATGCTTGCAGCATCCCGGGGTCACCTAATCACCAACGGCAACCTTCCCAGCCATCTTCCCACAACAGAAGTCTGGGGGGGGGGGGGGGAGCGAGATTCACTTAACGGCCTGATTTACTGAACTGCAGTGATTTGTTTAACAACCGTGGCCAAAAAGGACTTAACATTGGGTACAACTTAGTTAATCTCCTCCTTAATAACAGAGAAAAGATGTTAAGACTTTAGAAAAAGTGCAGAGAAGAGCAACAAAGATGATTGGAGGACTGGAGGCTAAAACATAGGAAGAACAGTTGCAGGAACTGGGTATTTTTTAATGAAAAAAAGGACCAGGGGAGGCATGATAGCAAGTTTTCCAATATCCCAGGGGCTGCCACAAAGAAGAGGGAGTCAAGCTATTCTCTAAAGCACCTGAGGGCAGGAGAAGAAGCAATGGGTGGAAACTCATCAAGGCGAGAAGCAACATAGAACTAAGGAGAAATTTCCTGGCAGTTAAAACAATTCACCAGTGGAAGAGTTGTGAATGCTCCAATACTGGAAGTTTTTAAGAAGAGGTTGGATAACCATTTGTCTGAAGTGGTGTAGGGTTTCCTGCCTGGGCAGGGGGTTGGACTAGAAGACCTCCAAGGTCCCTTCCAACTCTGTTATTCTAGTTCTAAAAAATCTAGTTCCTATTGTGGTCATAGGTTGAGATCTACCTGTGCTAGGCTGGCTGGGAATTTTGGGTGTTGAAGTCCAGCCATCTTAAAGCGGGTTAAGAAACAACTGTGGGGACAGAGCAACAACTGAGTTCAGAAAGCAGCGTAACACTGGAGTATTAAGTGACTCATAAAAGTGACCCAGCCGGTTTGAGCCACCCTGGTGTCCACTTTCCTTTGTGTCTGTGAACTTTGTGGCGACAGCAACTCCACTTCTTCTAAAACCAGCCAACTCCATCCAAATGTTTTGGAGTTCAGAGGCTCCCACAATAAAGCTTTGCTGCTTTATTTACCCTTAAGGCTCCTTCTTTCATTCTGAAGTACCTTTTCCAAAAATAACTCCTTGGCTTGTTCAAATAATTAGTTATTTGCACACTTTGAGCCTGTCAATGAAAATGGTGCATTTCTGGAAATGAAAACCCTAATCAGGGAGCATCTTCGTTTTCCAAAGAGGGTATCCGTTGGATTTTGAACCTCGGGCAAACACTGGGTGGACGCTCTCATGAATTTAAAGAGGTGGAGAATTTAAACAGGAGCTGCCAATCCACAAGGCCAAATACCAATTTGCTTTCCAGGGTGTTTATTTCATTAGGCCAGAGGTCACCAACTGGTGGTCCGTGAGAAAATTTTGGTGGTCCCCAGCAAAATTATTTGCATTTTTTATATTGCACTAAATACTATTTATCTTTTTAAAAATTCATATTAGTGGTCCGCGGGATTTACAATTATGAAGTTAGTGGTCTCTGAGATCCGAAAGGTTGGTGATCCCTGCATTAAGCGACTATGACCCACACTGCCCCCCCCAAAAAAACCCTCCTTTAATGTTGCAAAGGCACAAAATCCCTCCAAGGCAAACTGTTGGCTCCAAGGTGTGTTTATTCCTCCGATCTTATCAACTGAATGGACTAATATCCCCCCCCCCTTTAACTTTCAGATACCACCTGATGCATTGCTGGGCCTTTTCTCCTGGCTAAGCGGCTCTGAAGAAACCAGCTTTGCTAACAGGAATGAACCAGCCCTGCTAAAGAAAACCCAGGCACATTTTCTCTGTGTGTGTGTGTGTATGCACACAAGATGTTTAATTGGGTTGGCAGCAGTCCAGCCGAAGCCTCCCTAGGGCCAAGCCTGGAAATAAAGGGGCACCTTCCAAAGAGACCCCACACCCACCATGCAGGACCAGGTAGGGGGCTTAAGTGAGAGGGGCACCCTGGGCTTAGCCCCCCCCTCCCCCGGTGTGTGTGTGTGTGGGGGGGGTCTTCCCCGTCCTTGCAATTGCGGGACTGCTTGCAATTAATGCGGGGCGAAGGTAAAAGGGGCCTCGGGGGGGCTCAGGGAGCAGCCGATCCCCGAGGGCGGGAGGAGGAGGAGTGGGGGGGGGGGGGGGTCAGGGCGAGCAGGTGAGTCACCGCCGCCTCTTGCAATTGCAGGGGGGGGGAGGCTTTTAAAGACCCCCCCTCCCAGGGATGGGCATGGAGGGGCCCGTCTGCAAGGGGACCCTCCCCCCGGTGGGCTGCGAGAGGTCTGCTCCGGGGGGGGGAGGAGGAGAGGGTCCCTTCCAGCCCCTCCCTCCGGCCCCCGCACAGGTGAGGCTCCGCCAGGTGAGGCTCTCGGACCCGGAGGAGGGCGAAGGGACGTGGGTGGGAGGGCGAGTCGACCCCCCCTCTGGGCCTGGAGGGAAGGAAGGAAGGAAGGAGGAGGCGGCCCCGGGTCAGTAGGGCGCGAGACGGACCCCCGGCGCTTACCTGCGGCAACAGGTAGGACTTGAAGGTGGCCTTGGGGGCTCGGAGGGAGAACATGACGGCGGCGGCGGAGGCGGCGGGTCCCCAGGCAGGCAGGCCGGCCCTGGTCGCTCTCCCCGGCAGCGCCGGGCGGGGTTGGAGGCCCCACCTACCTGGGCAGGGCCGCGACCGCGCCCCACCCCTTCCCGCTCCGCCTCCTCCGGCCGAGGCGGCGGAGCGACTGAGCGCCGCTGGAGGGGAAGGAGCGCCTCGGGCTGCCGAAGCCACGCCTCCGACGGGGAGGGGAGGAGCCACCGCGAGGGCAGAGCCAACGGGGAGCGCGGAGGAGGAGGAAGCCCCGCCTCTTTTTGTATCCTAGCAACCGCGGGGAGAGTCTCTGGGTGGACGGGGGAAGGCCGCGCGGAGGAGGCGGTGCTCGCGGACGGCAGACCGGGAGGGACAAAAAGATTCAAATGATGTTGTTTTTCCTTTTCTCCCCTCTCCATTTTTAAACGTGATGCTAAATCAGGTCAACCATACCGGCTGGGGAATTCTGGGAGTTGAAGTCCACATACTTGAAAGTTGCCAAGTTTGAGAAACGCGGTTTTAGGTGGAAAAACCAGGATTAAAAATTAAGTTTCAAAGAAAGAAGGGCTGCCAGACCTGGATTGCTACCATTAGGATGGCCAACAGGTGGCAGCAAAGCCATTCTTGGTGGGTGAGCAGGTGCTGCCCTCTAGGGGTCCTCTGGATTTTGCAGTCCAAATCTGGAACCCCCAAATAAATTCAGAAGGAGTTCTAAATAAATAAAAATGGGATGTGCATGCAACGCTCTTGAGTTTCTCTAGCTTAAAAGCATTTAGCATCCTCTTGAATTCCTATAGGTCAAACGTGACAGCTCTGCATCTTAGATGTTCATTGAATCTGGCAGATTTTCCAATTAAACCAGCATGAGTCCTCAATTCCAAAGATGCAATTGACCCCTGGGTTAAAACAACAAAATGCCCTGCCATGTGAGGGCTCAGCTGGGTAGCGTTGTTTGGGAAATGTTCTCCCTGGGTTTGGCAGCCTTCATCCCACGCGCTCAAACCCATCCTGGATTTTCTCCAGAGAGGTTTCTTCGGCAGTTTTAAAGATACAGACATCAAAAAATACTAGCAGTTTTAGATTTCAACCTGTTTGTTTTAAGAGGAGAAACAATCTCAGGATGAGCGTAGCTGTGTTTGCAACAGAACGGACATAAGAACAGAGCGAACGAGAAAGAGAGAAAATTGCAAGCAAGAAGCCCCCTCTGAATCCCTTCCTGAATTGGCTGGGGAATTCTGGGAGTTGAAATCCACCCATCTTGAAGTTTTTGAGGTTGAGAAACACTGGTCTAAGAGACAGCACCCCATCTCCAATGGGTTGGGTGGCTCTTTTTGGCTAGAAATGATGACATCCAGGCTGGGGAATTCTGGGTGTTGAAGTCCATCCTACTGAAAGTGGCCAAGATTAAAAAACACTAAGATATTTTTACTTAAAAATATCTTACTTATGAACTTCTAATGAAAAGCCCTGGAGAATTCCCTTCACAAATGGACATTCCCAGAAAATAACTCTAAACCTTTGGCCCATTCTGGGTGAAAAATTAACTTCTGCATTCCACTAAACCCAAGTCCTCTCTTACTTAAATAAACCATTTACTTTCTTTGTAAAAAAAAAAAAACAAAAAAAAAACATTATTTGGGGAAGGGCGGGAGAGAAGCATCCTTGCAGAAAGGTGAAGGGGAAATCAAGACCTCAACTGAGGTTGCTTGTCTGAAAAATTATAGAAATTCTTGCAGGAGTTGCGAATAACACCAGATTTCATTTTTGAACCGTGAAGGGCTGTTGGGCTCACTGCTCTAGAAACCAACATAATAGAAATCCATTCCTCTAACCTCCATCCTGGCAGAGAGGCAGAATGCTTGGAAGAGTGCCTTTTTCCTTTATTTTTTAAAGCATCGTTAAGCAGCAATGTAGGCTCATGTCTATAGGAACCTGAATGGATTGGGTGGGACATGGGAAGTTGAGAGAAGGTGCCTAAAATGCAAGGGATCCATGACTTCTCCAATCCATAGCTGCAGCTCTTGTCTGGGGCCCACAGATCTAGCACCTCGGTCAGGGGTATCCAACCGTGTGAACTTTAAGACTTCCTGGAAGGAAGGCTGGGGAATTCTGGGAGTTGAAGTCCACAAGTCATAAAGTGGCCAAGGTTGGGATACCCCTGACCTAGGTGAAGTAAATTGCTAGACCTGCACTTTTTGATTGCTCCTGCATCAATATGGACCATCGCTTCCTGAGGGCAGAAATGGATCATGTCATCCTTTTCCAGTTCCCAGTCCATTCCAAGTTCTCCAACACTTGTGTTTTCCACTATCAGTTCAACCCTATTTGCTGGTCTCCAGAGCTTTCTATCCCAGTAGCAACCCAGCTCTGATTGAGTGAAGTACCTGGGATTCCTTCTCAACATCCCTCCATCAACTGCCCCTTCCCTCCCATTGGTTGTGTCTGCCATTTTGGCAGGGTGGCTGGGCTTCTCTGCTTGGTCCTTTTTTGAATAATCTCATGGTTGATCCAATGATGGACATGAAGTCAATGAACTAGGCTCAAGTTACCCTGGAATCTCAACCTCCCCTCATCTCTTTACACTTCCCAATGGCACCGCTTGGGTTTCTGTTCAGGCTAGGTGAAAACATGCCCTCTTTGCTTGCCCATCCTGTGCCCAGAAAACTGCAAAGCTGCCCTTCTTTTTCCTTTATTTTTTAAAGCATCGTTAAGCAGCAATGTGGGATCATGTCTATGGGAAGCTGAACTATCAGTTGCTCCTTACTGCAAAGATTCCATGATGCTATAAGGAACAAAAGAAGAGTTTGTTTCCTACGGCTTCAATCCTCATAGCATGATGCCAGAAGGAGGAAAGAGAAAACAGAAAATGTTCTGCACTGGTATCAAAGGAGATCATACTGGGAAGGGTTCCTTGGAGTGGTGGACATTGAAGGTGTTTCTGTATGCAAATATTTGGGGAAGGGGAGGGAGGAAGGAAGGAAGGAGAAGGATAGATGGAGAGAAAAATAATGAAGGGAGGGAGGGACATAATTAAGCTCTCATTCCATCATGTCTGTTCATCCTTCTTTATCTCTGCTGTGTTTATCCATTCATAGAGTCCTCAAGTTGGAAGAGGAGATGGAAACCATCAAGCTGGTTCAACTGCTCAGTTCAGGATCCAGATGAAAGCCTCTCCAACAGACCAGCTGTCTAGCCTGTGCTGGAGAAGCTCCAATGAAGTGGATTCTGCTATTCTCTTGCTCATTGGTTCTCACACCATTAGGAAATTTTTCTAATGTCCAGTTGGAATCTGCCTCCATGATTGAGTGTGCTGCACAAGAAAATGAGATAACAGGTTTGGTCTTCTTGTGTGTGACCTCCTTTCAGGTTGTTGAGAAGTGTTATCCTATCAGTCTTTTCTTGTCAAGGCCTAGCAAAGCCAGTCCAATCTCTTCTCCTGTGGCTCACTCATCGAAAAAGGCCATGTTTAGCATTCGGTTTCTGTGGAGGGTTTTTCTTGATTTGTTTTCCGCTCCTCCGTTGGAGATCCAGAAGGGATCATCAAGCTGCTGCTGCTATTGGCATGTCCTGGCCTATTTAGCCTCTCCTTAATGGTCTTGGTTCTCTGAGAATGGCTGTGTAAACTCCTTGATCGCCCAGGTGGATATCTACCACTTCTTCCTGACTTCACCGAGTGTCTGTTGCATGATGGCCTCCTCTGAATGAGTGGTGAGGACATGGGGGAGAGACTGAGACCTTCAACTTTGCCTATCTCACTATTCTCTTCAGGGCTGGCCAGCAAATACTTTTGCTCTACCTGATCCTCCAGCTGAGGCACAACACCTGGATATTCGGGAGGGGGCTCATCATCCATTTTTTGCTGAAGTTCATACTTCCATTCAGCAGTCCACTGCTGAACCGCAGAAGGGCACACTTGGTTCATGATAGTCCTATATTCTTGGTCCACCACCGTCCAGTTGTTATACCCGCCAACCAAATCTCCGCCTTGTGCAAAAATAAAACTCTTTGACTTCATTATGGCGGCGTGAGAAGCGTTGCCTGTTTCCGTTGGGTAGTATCTCCTTGCTCTAGGCTTGTCCAAGGGATAAGAGATGGTGGCTTCCAGTTTGGTCTTCCCTAGAGGTAGCTGGGCATTCTGCAGAGCTAGTTGGGTTCCAGATTGACTGTTCTCAATACTATCCATTCGCGTAAGAGATTGAGATATGGACTCATAACTTGGAGACTGATCTTGTGGGTCTACTGAACTGGAATATGAGCTAGGGGCAGCCTGAACGACCTCTAAGGTGTTCTTACTGGCTTCCATAGAGGTTGCCACATTTGGGCCCAAGACAGAACGGAGGCTTCCTTGACGTTCTGGAGCCAGCTGCATCTTGGAATCTGCTTTACGCAACGCCAGTGCTGGAGACATTGGAGTGGGCAAAGTGTCACAGATCAGCTCATCCGTCTGGTAGCGGTAGATGCTGTAACCATCCGAACTATTCACGCTGCTTTGCCTCAAAAGATAGGCCGCGTCACATTCAGAGGAGGCCCGAGAACGTGGGAGAATCAGCTCTGACGTGTCAATGCCGGCCAGTTTCTCCAGAGCTGTTGCCATGCGGCCAGAAGTGTCTTCCAGCTGAGAAAGACGAAGATCCACCGTCTGAAGAGAAGCTTTCATGAAATGCTCCCTTTCGTTCACCTCTTCTAATCTCATCGACATGTTTTCAACCCTGGAGGGTGGAAAGAAATGGATGGTTCAGCAAAACAGTCAGATGTTCTCCCGAAGATTAGAACGACCAGCCTGGGACAACAGAAGTGAGGGAAAAAATTATTCAGTTCTTATCAGGGGTTTAATTAGTTTAACTGATGGATTCTGAGAATGTTCTTTGTTGATCAGGGCAACATCATAAAGGAAAAACAAGAAAATAAGAGGGGTGTGTGGAAATGAGGGTCAATTAATTTAGTGGGGTCAGGTATTTGGCCGGACAACTCAAACTTTTCAAGAGTAGCCATTTAACTTACTGATAAAAGTTGATTTTTTGAGCTGAAAGCTGTGATTATCATTTTACTGCTTTGGGGTCAGGCCCTTGAGGTGTCCAATTGTCCACCGCCCAGTCATAGGGTTCAAATTAGGAAGCGGGGGATGAAATAAAGGATG